TTATAGGTCAACTTATATCATGCACTATGTAAAATATTTCATAAAAAGTTAAACATTTATAATAAATCGTTTAAGCACGTGAAATACAATATTGGATAAGAACATGAATCTTCAACCTGCTATAATTTACCACGAGATAATAAAGCCTTTGATAAAAATTTCTTTGCGCTTTTAGCGCGCTTCATAAAAAAGGAACGGAATGCGACCATACACGGGGAGAGTCTTGGCTAGATTCGGGGCCAAGACCAATTCTCTGTTTCTCAGTTTCTATAAACTCTAACACGGCCATGTAAATAAACTTATATTGCGCCTCATTTTGCACCATACCAGATCGCTGGTCGCGCACCATTTGAACGGTACGGTGGATGTCGATTTCACAATCGAAACCTTCTTTTCTAATTTGATCTAAGATCATATCGATAACTATAAACGTCCCGGTTCTTCCAATACCTGCTGAGCAATGGACGCATACGACCGCCTGGGCGGGAGGATCGGGCCCGGTCATAATCTGTTGTAACCTATAATTTACATCTAACAATATATTCAGGACCCTGCCTGGTTCCGATGGTACGCCGTGATCCGGCCACGCAGTGAAATGAAAATGATAAATAGTTCTTTTGACGCTGCACTCGTCCTTTTTCGTAACAACAAAGCGTCTCAACGTGTAATCTGGGGTAGATGATTCAAATTCATTGTGGACTGTAAACTTTTTAAAGACTTCTGTTTTGTTTAATTCTGGCCAGTACCGCTCGCATTTAACTTTACCACGCTCGATTTCTTTCGTAGTCATTATAATTATACGAACGTCCTCCTGCCATATCATAGACCAAAATGGATAAATAGTAGTCGATAAACAACCTTGAGTGGCGATGTATAACTTGTTGTAGACGTGATCCACAATACCATTTTCAGTTTCTTCTGTTGATTTTGGTATTGTGGTATTAACATAATTCGGATTTGTTCGAAGGACACAAGGCTCGAAAGGTGGGGTTAATTTCGTACCATTACCTTGAACTTTTACGTTAGCTAATTTTTCTTCACAAACTATGACGCTAGTGTGGACAGGAGACGATTTCTCTTTATTTTTTGAAGGTGTATTATCTCGACTTGAGCCGTTTTCGTAACTTCCATTACTAGAATCATGACAATCTGAGCCTGGGTCGATCATCTCACAACGGATATAATTTGCGTTTATGTAGTCGGAGCCAGGAGGTGCGTCAGGAGGTATGTCCTTCAATACAACACGAGTGCGATCGAAAGGTATGATATTTTTGTACCTATTTTTCCGTATGTTTTCAGGCTTAGACCCTTCCATTCTGTCAAACAGTTGTAGATTTTCCATCATTTGTAACGTTTCAAACTCTTCCCAAAAGCCTTGCTTGTAAGCCATACTCTCGATTGGACCCTCGTTTTCCTTTTGAAGTTGTTTTACTCGTGTATGGAAATGTCGGACTTGGATACGAGTGGCGTTAAACGGCTGTATTAGTCGCAACACTTCACCTGTGGTCTCAACCATAGGGAAGTTTCTATAATGTTCTATTAAACTGACAAGATCATTAAATTGTGTACCACCGCCTACATCGTACTTATTATCTTGTCGTCGTATGATGACGTGCGTGACACGATCTCGGGTCCTCACTGAGAGAACAAAATCACCCGGCTGCCGCTGCGACTCCCGTACAAGGAACGAGCCATTTTTACCATTTTCTAACATCACACGCTCCGCTTCTTTAGCAGTGAGTTGTCCATGATACCAGCGTTCTGTAGTAGGGTCGGCACAATTGAGAGGCGTTTTTAACCGTATGATATTGCCATTTTTCTCACGCAATTGACACTGATTGTCCATATAGTATTGAACGAGTTCGGAAAGTGTAGCGAATTTCTCGCCTCCGTAAAGGTCAAGAAACTCGCCATTATTTTGTATTTTAATGTGTGTTACTTCATTGCCTCGCCGCACAGACAAAGTGAAATCACCCTTATTGCTCATGCTGGGCCTCGCCAAGAAGTAGCCATCGTGGCCACATTCCATGAGTATCCTTTCCGCTTCCACCCCCGATAGTGTTGGGTGGAACCATCTTCGTGTTATCATCTTACTCTAATAAAAGCACCACCTTCGATACTTACAATATGTTAAATTACTGTGTGTTTTTCTTGATTTCCAGATTTTCGCCGTACATCCTCATTTCTCATCTGGAAATAAAGACAAAGACGAATGTTAATACAATTCCATTAATTTACATAGAAATTGTATAATGATTAATGTCCAAGTTCGAACTCTAGGTGCAAATCCCCAAAGCAAACTTATGAAAAAATCATAATTGTAAAATCTTATACTTATTTGCATAACCTAGTATCTACTTTAGAAGTTCTTGATTTAACTGAAGCCTTTTGAGAGTTTAAATAAATCACAAATGTATATACTTTTAAAAGCCATAATTATTCTGTAGCATTAAATACTTAAATAGCATTAATGTAACAGAAATAGACCATAGACACATTTAGATACCATATTGTTTTATTTTGCTACTATAATAAGGGGATATTAAATTAGAAATTAATTTACATTACACTAGCAGGATAATTTATTGTAATAGTCAGTAGTTAGCTCCCCACACATTCATTGTTTCATTATTGTTACCTACGTGGTTTGTATCAGTTTATAGCTGTGGTTATCAAAGGCTGTATAGCCATACTCACCCTGCAATATTAAATAGTGGGATATTTGATGATTTTAAAATTTAACTGCTTGAATATTTAAAGAATGTAAAGAATACATAACTATACCTGTTTGAATTATTTACTTACAATAGGAAAATTTTAGCCATTGACCATTTAAGTGTGACTAAGAATTACTTGAGAATAATAATTATTAAATAATATCTTGGAAGTATGTACCTTCCTATTAGTTAGATGAATAACATAAACCACAGACAATACACTATCAGAATTTATGACTCCGTAGTAGGTACCTATTTGGTATGTTTATTATTTATTTTAACTTGTAATTGTAACAAATTATACGACAAACTTCAATAAGAGGTCTTCCTCTTTCTTACTGTGCCTTTACAAAGGGTGATCAGATTGCATCTGTGATATCATCCTAAAATTTTTGGATGGAAAGGAGCGAGAAGATTCCTTGAGCAAAGGAACTTAGCTGTACAGTTGAACAGCATTGCTTGATCGGTCCACAGGAATATTTTAGAATTAGTGAGTGTCATTAAAAATCACACTATCTGTGTATTGGATTAACACATATTGGACCTTAACTCGTTGAGTACTGTTATTATAGACACAATTAAAGAACAATATGTTGCAGTCACCAGTATCCTCGCGGTGTGTGACAGATTAATTAGAAAAATACTACCAAAATATTTAAATGTTTTTTTTAAATTATGGTACACTAGCAACCCACCCCGGCTTTGTACAGATGCAATATGCATGTATTATACATATAAACCTTTGAGACAGACAGACGGCATAAGTTTGATTGAACCACAAGTGGTTGTAAAAATATTTTTAATTGTACTATGTTGTATATTGTACTATCATATGATATGGGAAAGTTAGTTTTTACTTAACATTATTTACATAAAAACTTTAAAACTTCTAAATAATTTTATATTAATTTTAGGTAGATTGTCATCTATTGTTCTAGTGTTCCTAAACAAAATTAAAGGAAGTAAAAGACAATCATAAATGAAATAGGCATAGAAAACTTTTCAATTAAATTTATTTCTATACATATGTGTATTTCTATAAGATTGCATTGTTTAAGGTACACATTCAAATGGGTGCCTACAATTAGTATCTATTATAAAACAACAAATGGGTAATGAATCAGTAGTATTGTTTCTTCATTTAAGTTTACAGCCAGGAAGTTGTGATTGTTTGTGTAAAACCAGTCTTAAGTTGTTTTGTTATGTTCAAGGTGCAATGTCAATAGCTCATAACACTCTGTGTATAACAATACATAACTTAACAAAATTACGATACAAACCTGTGAAGTTTACATGTAAAATATGACATCATCCTATCATTGAGATGTGAATTCAAAAAGCAAATAATGCACTTTAATGTCACATACACAGCAACTTTTCAAGTGGATACTTAATATTAAAATGCATGTCATTTTACCGAGATACCACTGAATATTGCGCGAAACACCTCGCACAACTGCAAGGTATATTTTATACATTCACTATAATAAAGTATGTATTGTTATACGGACGGAACGAATGCACAAAGGTACACCCTATTAAACTTTGTTTTACAACTCAGATACAGTTTCTAAATAATAATTTAAGAAAATACTTACTTCAAAAAAGGCACCCTATCTTCTTACAGTGAACGATATCCCTCAAAATAGGAATTATATGTACCAAAGTGCTGTTGCTATGCTGACACTAGATTTTTTTAAAACACTGTTTTCAAGGGCGTGTGAACACACTAACTTATTTAAGTAAACTATCAACTAAAGATGTTGTTAAACTTAAAAATTAACGCGATACTGTATTGGTAAACGAAACCAATGGTTGAAAAAAAATATATTTCACACAAAAAGAAGCAGAAAATGAACTCCGTGCCCGAGTTGCCTGCTGCCAGAAATGTCAGTTAACTTTTTTATTGGTGTTGCCCGCATAATAGCATGTGTGACATAATAAAAAATGTTACCATTGCCGTAAAACTATTAAAATAAAAATATAAAATTGATTTATTCTACTTAATTTAATACAAGCAATTCATTTAGTATTATAGTACGATAATGTACAATTCGTACGTACGAATTGCGTACCAACTAAACCAACAAACTTATTAGCTTATCAACCGAAATAGTTGCAAGCTACCAACATTTGAATGACAGGCATTTGTCATTATTATTTAGAAAGTGCCGTAAACGTTTTTTATTTCATAATGGCTTAGCTTTCAGAATCGCCTTCCTAAATAGAGATTAAAAGTAGGCATTAAAAATAAAACAGGAATTACAAAACTTAATAGGTATATTTATTTACTCATAATTTCATTTATCATTAGTACCACCAGTAGCAGATTTGATTTTACCAAAGTAGCTAGACAATACTTTTTTAACAGCAATACGTTTGTTCTGAGATGAACATTCCCCTTGCTGATTTGACGACTTGTTCCAGTGTTCAAAACTTTGACGTCTAAATATTTTCCCTAAAGACTGCCATTTTTGTTCTGGACTCATTTCTTTATCTTCAAAATTTTCTTTACTTCCAGACGGCCGATCGCCCTGTATAATAACAAAGTAGCTATCAATAATAAAAAAAATTGTATAATAACAGAGTACGTATCAATAATAAAAAAAAATGTGTCACTTTTTTACTTTTAACATCGTTGGTACTTGGTAGGCATATATAAAAAAACGAAAAATTAAGTATAACTAATTGGACTTCTAAAAATACTTACGTCATTAGATTTAGTTGGACGAAGCTGATTGCGAAAGAAATTGGATATAGACTTCTTCCAAGTTTTGGGATTTTTATAAGAGTTTAATTCTAAGCTTCCTGAACCTTCAGCAGGTATCTTTTTACTTTTCTTCATGCACGTTTCATCATCTTCTTTAGGAATGGTCTCGTTTTGCACTAGATAAGCTTCAGGACACAGCATAACGATTTTTAATATCAAAAATCCTTTGCAGTTTTCACTATAAAGTATTCAAAATTATTTTTAATTTATTTGGTATGTCACTTCGTCATTTGTTTCAAAAAGTCATCTTTATTTGAAAAAAGAAACTATTTAACATTGAACTATTTTGTGACAATACTCTATAGACGTGTTTGTACTTTTGCTTTTTACATAAAAAAATACAGCGAGCGACATAGTGATGAATAAAACTTTTTGAAGCACTCAATGTGGCATCTGTCATATTTTATCTGTGGCCTTGGGAAATATTCTTTCCATTTTCGCATGCGCATTGCAAATTATATTTTAGGCGGGAAGTCAAAAAGTAAAAGAATGTCAGTCAGGTCTTAAAATATTTTATTAAGTATTGCGCATACGTACTCTACAGTTTTGCTGTTATATACATTTTATAAAATTTTACTGGTGACAATGTCTACAACAGCTTCTTTTACATCACAGGTAAGTACCGTGCTACCGTACAGTACATTTTACGAATCAGAGGTACCTACTAGTTTTACATAACGACAAAGAACTTCCGAGCCATCTAAGTCACATTAGGTAGGTACCTAGGTATATAAGAGTGTCGCGGAGTACCTAACGGGTAACCGGGGCTCCGGCTCGACGTGCAGGAGAAGGAACGGGGTGGTTTTTAGTCAGTAAGAGTCTGACACTCCCTCCCGCCTCACCCAGGCGGGAGCAGTCATTCGATGATTTTCCCCCCTTAAAAAAAAGGTATATAAGAGTAATTGTATAGATATAAGTATAATTGAGTAAGTCCTCAAAGCATAGCTGTAACCTTGACATCTGAAAACTGAGAAATCTAGTACCGTACGTTGGTACTTAAATAAGTACTACTGCCTCGATGGCCGAGTGGTCGCAAGTGCGACTGCCGGGCAAGGGGTCTCGGGGTCGATTCCCGGGTCGGGCAAAGTAACACTGGGTTTTAAAAAAAATCTCAGTAGTAGCACGGAGTCTGGAAATGTGACCGGTATATATGGCAATAGGCTCACCCCTATTACATGGGACCCATAACATAAATAGTGAAAAGTGGGTGTTACTTCTGTGTGCACCTCTGCTTACCCCTTCGGGGATAAAAGGCTGATGTTGTGTTATGTCAGTACAAAGTGTACAACAATGGTTGGCAACCATTGCGGGATTATTTATCTTTTGAAATTACGCTTCATTTCACAAAAAATATAACTTAGGTACTGAATCGATGAGATTTATTTTATTACACAACATTGGAATTAAACTTGGATAGGCAAAAAAAGTCAAAATTCTGCCAGAGCCATTATTATACGCGGACGAAATCGCGGGAAATAGATACCTAGTAATTGAATAAAATGAAGGTGTGTTTATAAGTCTAAATTACCATTATTTTATACACAGGCGGTGGCAGAATGGGTAAAATTATTTCCGCGGCAGGCGACGGAAACGTATACAAGTTCGGTAACATTTATGAAACAACTGACTGTAGTTGCTATAAGTACTATAACGTATTTGAAGAATGTGTTCCCTGAAGAAAGCTATAAGGTTGAGAGTTTCGGGGGCATTAAGTTACGTGTTTTAAAGAAGAAATGCAGACATGAACTGGCGCAGTTCGTGAGTACCGCGCTCACACAAGCTTTTGAAGCGTTCGATAAGAAATATGTAAGTTTTTTAGTTAATTTTTTTTTATGGCATAAACCGGTAAACGAGCAGACGGATCACCTGATGGTAAGCAATCGGCGTCGTCCATGGCCACCTGGAACACCAGAGGCGTTACAAGTGCGTTACCGGCCTTTTGGGGAATTAGGAGTTTGAGTATCGTTGGGGATTCAGGGATTGGGGAAATCGGGGAAGGGGAGGGCCTTCGGTAACCTCACTCACACGACGAAACACAACGCAAGCGTTGCTTCACGTCGGTTTTCTGCTCGTTGGTGGTATCACTCCGGTCGAGCCGGCCCATTCGTGCCGAAGCATGGCTCTCCCACACTTGAATTTATATTGTAGGTATTTAGAAATTATATTTACAATATGTACCTAAATAAAATTGCATTTTCAGTTACATCAACTAGTCTTATGCTTTTACGACGGCGAATGTAAAGTGGAAAATTTAGTAGAATACCACATATTTGAATACCTATACAATTCAGATGGGGTGACCATGAATGTGCACTCTAAAACTCGGGACAGTGCTAAAACTTCCACGAGATATTCTTTCGACAATGTTAGAGAAAGGACTGTCCACTTGATAAGGGCATGTGTAGTTATCATGCAAGCTTGTCAGAATGAAATGCCCGAGTCGTATGATGTAAGTCTACGATTGTATTACAATGAAGGTAAGGTACCTATTGTTACTTTTTAATTTAGCCCTATCATCCCAAGACAAACCCTAGCAGGCATCTTTTGAGCTAAAGTATCTACCTACCAAAATATCTGATCAAAAGTTTCGGAATACACACCTCGACTTGTTGATAAAATCGTGTTGAAAGTATGGAGGTAGAACGATGGGTTTATTTAGTAATCATTATAGATGTATTATAATAAAAAAATTGTATGACAAGGGCACGGACCTAAGTCCGTGGAGAATTAATCAGTAATATTATAAAAAAAACGATGGCTTTATAGTTTAGATAAATCAATCGATTTGAATAACACTTAATCAAAGATAACTCACCAGTAACATCAAATACCTAGCAAAAGTTTCAGTTTCCAGGACCTCAATGAAATCGACCATACATGACAAACATTTCTACCATTTCTTCTTACACAGATGCTCCAGAAGGTTATCAAGCACCTGGTTTCCTTACAACAGGTGAGGAACAGGATCACTTGGAGCAGACGTTACCAGAGACTGTGAAGCTAGGATATGTGGAGACGCCGTTCCATAGACTAACGGCTCGCACATACATCAGGGAGAATATGGGTTCCAGTCATGACGCTATTGTGAGTTTCTTTCATTCGTGACTCTGTTAAGGAGACAAATAGGTATAATAAACTTAAACTTACCCCAGAAGCTTTGTCGTAATACCGTGGGTACCTAAGTATGGTTAATAGAATCTGCCAATAGGTCTTTTCAAAGTGGTTTTCATATTTTCAGCCCTCACAAAATCCACCGAGGATGACACAAATTGATCAAGACGATTTTGAGAGCAGTACGTATGGAAACTTATATCTTAAACGGATTGGGCTGTTATATCGCCCAATATTTTTTTTGGGATTGCAAACTAATCCTCGAATAAAATATTTAGGCCAGTTTTTTGCAGGGATAAATATCTTAAGAAGACGGAATGTAGCTCTATTTATTACGACAAACACAAGACGTCCGCCTTCGCTGCAGTACTTAGGCTCTTCCTGGACATTTCCTGAAGGGCGTCTTCAAGGCCCGAGTGAATAGGTTGATAATGGGTCGGCGTGCTCCATCATAAACAGCATCATCGCTTACCACCAAGCGAGACAGTGGTCAATCGTCGGCCCATCAAATATAAAAAACCTGCATCCTGCTAAGTGTGGGAGAGCCATGCTTCGGCACGAATGGGCCGGCTCGACCGGAGTGATACCACGGCCTCACAGAAAACCGACGTGAAGCAACGCTTGCGTTGTGTTTCGTCGTGCGAGTGAGGTTACCGGAGGCCCAATTACCCTCCCCTACCCCAATCCCTGAATCCCCAACGATCCTCAAACTCCTAATCCCTAAAAAGCCGGTAACGCACTTGTAACGCCTCTGGTGTTCCAGGTGTCCATGGGTGTGTCTGTCTGCTCGTTTAGCGGCTTATGCCATAAAAAAAAATCCAACGGCTATTTTTTTCTTCATACTTTACACAGTAAGATAAGGCAAGGTATTTTAATATTCTGAAATGCTTTTACTACAGGTTCAGCTATGAGGAGTGTGACGGACTCGAGTGAGGTGCGAGTATTATGTCCGTGTAATAAACACGATCTTGATGAGGCGAATCATGCTATACTTACTTGCCAGTAAGTTTCATTCATGTTATGAGACAATTGTTTAAGTTTTCTAATGTGTTCACTTGAACTCAGTTCATAAATACGATTTATTTTATAACAATATAGATATTTGCTTATTAAACTTTTTTTGAAACATGCACTAATTATAAACTCCATACAACACAATAGTGAAAAGTCGACAAAAGACAGTCACTATTCGACTGTCTCGTTGGCCGAGTGGTCGCAAGTGCCGGGCAAGAGGTCTCGGGTTGGATTCCCGGGTCGACCAAAGTATTACTGGGTTTTAAAAAAAATCTCAATAGTAGCACGGAGTCTGGAATTGTGCCCGCTATATGGCAATAGGCTCACCCCCTACATGGGACTCATAACATAAATAGTGAAAAGTGGGTATTACATTGTATAGTGGCATACCGCACTTCTGCCTACCCCTTCGGGGATAAAAGGCGTGATGTTATCTTATGTTACATACGAAAAAAAAGTTTGTAGATCATACAAAGGGGGATGATCAATACAGAACTTTAATATGTAACACGTTACGCAACAGCCCCCACGCCAGGTGCATTCAAAAGTACCCACAATATTTCACAATAATATCTATCTATAACTCAAGTATCTTCTAAAGGTACTGCAACACTCAACAACATGCAGCGTGCTTTGGCCTGACACGTGAGAATGCGTCTAAAGTACAACGCCACTGTTGCACTGAATGTTCTGACATGGATCCTAATAGGCAGCCTACTGATCAACGACTGGCAACACTGAGCATTAAGAAGAGAGAAGTAAGTTATAAACAGGATATTCTGTATCTATCAATTCGAACTCTCGGAGTGAGCTCGATCTCTCGCCAGTCATTGGTCGAGATTATTCTCCCAACCAATGAAATGGCGCACCACGATCGAACTCACTTTGGATCTTTGAAATGTAATTTTCAACAGAATGGCCTAGCAGTTGCTTATAAGCTCAGTACGAAACATAAGATTTAGTTTTATTTAATGGGTCGGTATATAGTGGTCCCAAGCACCCATATACAAGTAGTGTACGATTATTTTTTTTTAAGGGGGGAAAATCATCGAATGACTGTCATGGAGGAGGGAGTGTCAGACTCTTACTGACTAAAAACCACCCTGTTCCTTCTCCTGCACGTCGAGCCGGAGCCCCGGTTACCCGTTAGGTTCTCAGTACGGTATGGAGAACAAGAATCAAGAAACGCTCTCGTTTGATCATTATTATGAAATAGTAAAGCCAAGATTAATGGTATTTAAGACTGAAATGGAAATCGAGATTTTCTGAGGTTTCCTAGTCCGTCACAATTACCTTTACTAACACTTCATGAATATATGTATTTAAAGTCTTAAGTCCTTTTCTCCTTTCCGCAGTGCCTCTGCATATTCCGTCGTACAATAGAGTGGTGTTGTCACGTAGCTACCATAGGGGCACAGGATCTAGTCGACAAGTTCGCTCTGTCTCCCGTGAATGCTTCTAAACTTATGAAGCTGTTGCATTCACATGGCATTATTAATCAGGGATCTGAGTCTGAGTGAGTATTGTAGAGTCAAGAAGAGCCTTTATATTTACTTAGTAATCTATTTTTAAGGCTTAATTAATCATTAAATCACTTTTAATAATATCAATGAATATGAAGCCTGTTGTGGTGGTACTACATACAATTGTATATAGTCTTTTCACAGCCAAATTCAGTACCTCTAATCTTCATCTCTATCTCAATCTTTATCTCTAAAAACTCTTATTATTTTCTCTTGATAATGCTGTCATATCATTATATCTACACAAGGAATGTATTTCTAAATTCCAGTCTAATCTCTTCATGTGAAATAATTCCGGACCAATTAAAGTCGGTAATGAGCAAATTCTTCCAGCAAGAGGAACCGGACTTAGTAGATAGGTTGATAGCCGAAACTTTGTCTCAGAGCAGTCAACCCGACCCAATAGGAGAGGTCCTTAGTCCCATGGAAAAGGTGAACTTACAGAATGCTACTACACTTGGTAAGATTATAGAGCCTGAACAAAATATACAGATGGTTGAAGATGAGACCTTGAAAGAGTATAGAAATGCATTAATGTGTGACGTGGACAATGAAGAAGGGTTACCTCTAAGTGGTAGTCATAATCCTGTCAACGTTGAAGACTTGGGCAAAAGGACCGGAAAAAGGAAGTCGGATACGGCCAAAAAGACCGGAGTCCGAACTAAAAGGGCCAGAGCTTCTCATGATTGATTTATTCTAAACACATTTTTCATTATTAGTTCATTGTTCAGACTTTGTTTTCGTTATGGTTTGATTGTCTAAAATTATAGTAATATTTATAAGTAGATACATTTTGGTTTGTTAGAAAATTAAATTACATGTCATTGTACTTTTGGATGTGTTAAATAAAATATTATACTAACTTCTCTATCGTGTCATCACTTAAATTGTACTTAATTCAAATAATGCTCCCATTTGTAGGGTCTAGCTTGATTTTGTAAAAAAATAGTCACATCATTAGATACAAACTGCCTTCTTAACGTAAACATTATCACTGTTAATAAACATAATTCATAATATAAATGAACTTGCATATTTGAGATGGGAGGTTCAACTTTGTACCAGTTGCTTAAGTATAAAGGTAACGCTAGTTGTACTTACGTTAATTACATAAAATTCACTGACTAGAGTTATTGACACAGATTCAAAAAGTTAAGTACGAGTTTCTTTTTCGAGACGGTGTCTGGCCCTCTGATTGGTTGGTTCATTAGAGCCGGCCAATCACAGCGCCGAACGCGTTCTCGTTTCGATTACTTTCAACGTAAGAGAAACTCGTACTAAGGCCTCAGATCCGTGCCAGTGAAGGAAATTTCTATTATCTGTCAGTTTTTTTATGCACCTACCTACTATAAATTAAAAACTTACACCTAATTAGACAGGAGTTTCTAAGTTTACGTAGTCACCGAAGTTTGTAAATACACGTCCCCAATACCTCGGGTCACCTCGGGGATCTAAATCTAGATTGTTAGGTGGCACTGCTGTCGCATTTATTCTCTCTAGCTCCGACATTAGTGCTTGCAGAATATCTGGCTTCCTGTGAAAGTGAAAAACTTATTGATTTTCCATCGAAACCATACTTATGTGTGTGAATTAGGACGCTTTTCGTGTATCACGAGGAGATCTTTCGCCGAGTCACTTCACAAACAAGTTGCAAATTAGGTACCTAAGTTAGTCTTAAAGAGGAATTCTCTGCCAGAACCTCTGAGTCTGAATCTGGGTATCTTCAACAACACCGAAGTGAATACGCTTATGGTATGCTCCATCGTAGACATCATCGCTTACTACTGAGGCACTTATTATCGTTAGTGGCAAAATGTCGACTCACTTCTAATCAACAATGAAGACAACAAGTTCAACTTACTCATCTGCCAAGTTTTTAAGCTCGCAAGGATCTTCTTGTATGTCAAACAGGCACGGCGCTTTCAGTGGTTTACATTCGTTGATTGGTTTAGCACTATTGCATTTTATTGTTGATGCATCCCTGAAAAATTATAATAAATAGTCTCAATAATCAATCATGAACATTTTAACTGATTTGTTTCATAGTCTAACTTACCTAATGCTCATAATTCTTTCTTTATTAGGCAATGTAGTAATGTTGTTGATAGCTACGCCCGCGTAACTTTTGTAAAGCAAATCAACGTTATATTCACCATCCCGACCAGTCGGTCCGAACCAATAATCTTTGGTGCCATTATAGTTTGTGCCTGAACATAAAACCAATGTTAATAAGTAACAAATATTGTACGTAGCTCGACAACTACTTGTAGAACATTTGCTTCGTATTTGAAGTTTACCTTTATGCAGTTTCCAATTGTCCACTGTAATGGAGGCTGATCCGAAAATGTCGTCTATGTTATGCACTATTTTGGTCCTTTGAGATGGTAGGTCATTGGATAGGGCCTCCCACAAGTCGTACCCGTCGAGATTTTTGAAAACACTGCAATCATATTTTTTACAATTATTTATCTTTTATTGTTTGAACTGTTTTACAAGGTAACTCGACTAGTGTCAAGGCCCGCTAAGGCTTTCATACATACGTAGACATGCATAGATTTATAAATTAACGGATTATTTAGTAACCTGGTTTCGCCTCCAGCAGCACTGTACAATGTCGGTAACCAATCAGCGATATGGAACGTTTGATTCGCGACTCTTGACGGTTTTTTTATAAGAGGACTCCATAACAGGGCCGCACCACGAACGCCACCTTCCCATAGAGTATTTTTCACTCCTTTCAAAGGATAGTTAGACGCAGCATTGTTGTTAAACCCAGCAGCTGGCCCACCATTATCGGTGCTGAACAGAATTATTGTATTATCTAATAATCCTTTCTGACTCAACGACTTCACCACTTTGCCGACAGATTCGTCTAGTTTAGTAAGCATTCCTGTGGAAAAGCACATTTCGCATAAATTAAACCTTTGACAAATGATAATAATGGCATGGTTTATAATTAAATCAGGAAAAGTCATAGGAATAAATAACGAAAGTCCGATATCGGGCACTGCTGGTGTATTGCACAGATTGCACTTCATTATCAAAGGTTTTTACACAAATCAATGATGTATTTTTAAGGTCGTTGGGTCAGTGAATCAGAAAATCTTATTTAAGTACCTAATTAATTAACTTTATTTAGGATTTCATCAGGACGATTATTATTAAAAGGTCTTTGTGAGATTTTTGCAAGAGAAACTATTACCTGCATATTTGCGTCGCTGTGTGTCTTTGATGTGTGCGAATTTGTCAACAACGTCGTCAGGCGCTCTTAGAAACTCGGAAGGGTTTCCACTATGCATCGCTGAGTGTGCAACCATCAAGAATAAAGGTTCACTTTTGTTATGGGCTTCTACTAGCTGAAAAATAGGAGTTCCATTGAATACCTCATTAGGTACTACGTACATTAGGTAACCTACTTGGATTGCTTTGTAGGCTGGCGAAAGGAACATGGCAATAGATTTGACCCTTCCATAAGTTAAAAGTTCATTATAGTTGCTTACCAACTTTTAATATTTATTCGTGGCGTACCTAAGTTCATGTGCTAACGCTATGTAAATTATGCTGTAAAGATAGTTTAGTATTATTATCATCTGCATCAGTCCCATAATGGCCCATCTAGAGGTAGGCAAACATACCTATTTACCTAAGTACCGTTTATGTTTTTTAAAAGAAAATAACATGATGTTACCTTGACTGCTTCATTTGTGTAAATATCTGTCGCATATTTTCCGAAGAGATCGTATGCCACCTCATAACCTGAATAAAAATGGTCGGTAAATAAGTCAAAGCATTATCAAGCAAGCTGTGCTCGTTTCATTCCAATGCAATAGACATGCAACATGTAATAAAAAAGTAATTTTTCACACTGTTCCTCAAGTAATTAACACTTAGGTAGGTACCTAAACAAGAATAAAATTGTTCAAATTACGTCATAGGGGACTACCCGAAGACCCGAATACCCTTGTCTTGCATCATCGGTGTGCGAAGTTTTGACAGTTTTTGTAGATACGAATTGATAACTTTTAAGCTGAAGCAGGTACTTAATATCCCGATTAGGTAGGTATCGATAATTTGAAAGAAAATTTTAGCGATTGTCTTAACAATCCTAACTATCTGTATAACTAATTCTTAATTGCCAAACAATAGGTAATATTCGTTATTTAGTTAAAAATTAGTAAAGAAAAGATTTTGTTAGTTACCTCTTCTAAAATCGAAGCCCCAAGTGCCAATCTCCATATTTGTGTGATCATATAAATCAATTTTTCCCGTCCAAAATCCCAAGTGTGTGTCAAAACTGAAAAAGTAAAATTGAGAAAATACAATATATCCGACAACCAAAAAACGCGGTACAAGGTTTTCATGAAAATCACCATTGAGTCTTTTCCATAGTCTAGCTAGAAACTGCATGATGATGATGATATTTTTAATGTCGTCTCTTATTTGACTCTAATGAATATAGAGAGTGCTCTAGATCCGTGGCAAGATTAAGACACAGCGCTAACCACAACACGGGAAGGATCTTGAGAAAGGGCAAGTCGAAAGAAGATTTGGTAAAGTAGTAAATAGGTAGGTACTGAACTTACCCTCGACTCAATGGAAGATACTCCCTTTTGTAATGCCCTAAGTGCCATTTTCCTACTAAATGTGTTTTGTACCCCAAGTCCTTCAGGTATTGTGGAAGGATTTTCTCTGATAGAGGGAGACCTCTTGGCTCTTCACCTCGAATAACGCTGTGTTGCATTCCTAGAAATAGAATTGATACATTGTATTCTGATGTCAATAATAGCAAGATGATGGCTAAGGTTAAAAATCTATTCCAGAAAGACAGATTGTGGTACCTGATGACAGTTCTGTGTAACTGATAAGAGGACAGTCACGCATTCCAATATTTTGATTATTGAATCAGCTCATTTCGATCAGTCTTGGTAATATGGCTGTCCAAGAACATGCACTGAGCTAGACATTTGGTTCTGCGCTGAATTATCACTCCTAGCTATTAACTTGATGGTTATTGTCGCTTGAACTATCTGGAGGTCACCTACATTACATTTGCTTCGATGTAGTCTCCAGAAACCTATGTAAGGCAATGGTAATGCGCCTGTCGCCGATAGGTAATGACGAGGAGTTGGATGGGAAGTTTTAGTCAGTGGGAGTCTGACATCCACTCACGCCGCACTCACGACGGGAGCACTTATTAGATGATTTTTCATTCTTACAAAAATGGTAAAACTCACCCGTGTGTATAGGATATTTGCCAGTCATTAGGGCGGCTCTCGACGGCGTACATATAGGAGTCACATAGTAGTTCTGCAAAACAAGGCCAGAATATGCAAGCGCGTCGATGTTTGGTGTCGGTATCTGATTCGAGCCATGGAAACCAACGTCGTTCCATCCCTGAAAATATTGCACTCATAAATGACTTTCCTATAATTAAGTAATTTAGTAGTATCTGCATAATAAGAAAATAAACATAACATAATATCACGCGTTTTAGTCCCGAAGGGGTTGGCAGAGGTGCACATTACGGCACTTAATGCCACTGTACAATGTAACACCCACTTCTCACTATTTATGTTATGCGTCCCATGTAATAGGGGGTGAGCCTATTGCCATATACCGGGCACAATAGATAATAAGAAAATAGTAAATGCTATATTATACATATGTACCTACCTACCTGGTGTCATGAACGCTGGTTGCACTGGTGTTTAATTTTAGACAATTAAGGATTTCCATTTGCCTAAATGAGTTGGGTAAATAACAATAATGCCGAGTAATAAGCGTCGTAAACAATACATAAGTTTTTTTTAAATTAAGCAGGCAAGCTGTGGCATTTTCCTGTTTACGAAGACCTGAGTGACTATTATTTATAAAAGTGAATATTTTGTGCACGGTCCCTCCTACTACTCAAACATGGTAGTTAAGGAATAATATTTGTTGAACATAAATAAACATATTTATCAGTAGAACCGTTTCCCATGGGGCAATATCTTCATAAATGTGTTTCTAATACCTTTTAGCCTGCAGTAGTAGGTAGTTATAGCAAGCTAGCAAGCTTTTAAGCTATATATTTGATAAATGCTTATTTTTATTCAAATTAATCATCTATGGAAGATTTCTGTCAAGTTGTCGACCGGTTCGCATTTAAATATTAAACTACCTGTTATATCTGATACATTGTGGTTGCCTATCTGCATATGGTCTATTTATAAGGTCATTGCCCGATGTGTATTTAATAAGAGAGTAAACAGAATTATTGAATAACGATAATGTTTATAAACACGAATTTGATGTGATATATTATGCTAGGTATTTTATATTCTACAAGCAAGTTGGAAAAAGTAGGGTCAAGCGCAAGTTCAGATGACTAAAATTCGGAAATATTTAGTAAATAATATTTAAGTTCTCAACTGTACAAAAGCATAGACTGATAACTAATTAGGATGACGTCTGACTAATTTTAAAGTGCCATTGAAATTCAATAACGTACTCTACTTTTAATCACATTAAAATCGTCTTCCCCCATCTATTTGTGGGGTCAAAAATTTATTTAAGTTAGTTTTGCATTTTATGAATAAAAGCATAACAAACGTACATCATTTCGCACAGTAAATATTAACATAAAAATTATTTACCAAGTCATCAGCAAGGAAGATCACAATATTCGGTCTGACTTGAGCCGACGCGACGTATAGCACTGACCACAAAGTTAATAACAACATGACGCGACGCTCTCCCGATTACGAATGCCGGTAGCTCAACACAATGAGTACTCGGAACGGTTAGAACCAAACTAGGCTATCTACGCACGCCATGCAGTGGTCACTGGACTACATCCTAGAATTTACTACTTTAGGTCGCCAAGTCAGGTACGTAATGGTTAAACTTATATTTATTTTTTTGTATTTTGGGCTTTTGTAAATTTCGGTTAGCCATTTATTTATCAAATATCACGTGATATGGCTAAGCATTTCATGGAGGGATTAGAAATTTGGGCAGACGGACAAGATTAATTATTCGTTATTCCCAAAATATTGATCGCTACATAAAAAATTTACAATTTTTTTTAAGGGGGGAAAATCATCGAATGCCTGCTCCCGTCTGGGTGAGGCGGGAGAGTGTCGTCTGACACTCTCCTTACTGACTAAAAACCACCCCGTTCCTTCTTCTGCACGTCGAGCCGGAGCCCCGGTTACCCGTTAGGTTCTCCGCGACAATGATACCTGTCATACACTCCATAAACTGACACGTTAACAAAGAATTAAGTTGTAGCCAGATATTATTACTACAGTTTCAAATAATGAATAAAACGATGAATTAAAAATTATTCAGTTTATTATCCATATAAATTACAGTCCATTAACTTCACGTATCACACAGTCGTACTTAGGAAAATAAAAGCATCGAGACGTATTCTATAATACAGCTGCCCTAAACAACCGTAGGTATTGCGAGAATGTAGGCAAGGCTCACAGGAGGTCAAAAGAACTTTAAATATACGAAATGTTACTTTCCAAAGAATATTTAAGCCAAGGATACATTCGGGGACAATGTCCCATGACATGACGTATCACGCGAAGCCTGCCGATTTCGTTCGACATATTATAAGATGCTAGACATGTCGACCAAAGTCTGGCAACGTCGCGCTTCTCCACTCAACGTCGCTGGCGACGTGTTTCGCAGGGCATTTATCCCCTAGGGTATCCTTGGCTCAACTAGTATTTAGTTGTTGCTGTGAGCCCACCATTTTAGATCGGGCTCGTTATATCATTGTATCTACAATGGTATTTGTTCTAAAGTAATGACATTAATTTGATGCCGCCAAAACGTTTCTTTGTAGTTGTTTACATTGAGTGCTTAGGTTCGAAATATTTTTTGTTATTAATTAGCATTTATTGGTTATATTATTTAACACTATATTCTATATTGTTCTCGCTAGTGCCAGCACATTGTCTCAGCATACAACATAAAATAAATTAGTTTATTAAGAGCACGACGCTTCTATAATAGGTGAAGTAAATCATCCATCATGACATTCATGTATATAACATACAAATATTATGAAGTTAATACTAGAGACCAAGCATGTTTTCTTTCTATCTAAATGTACAAGTCATAAGTAAAATGCAGAAAGGAATCGTACAAAAATGTTTAGTTGCGTCTAACATTAATACAAGCCGACAAATTATATACATACAATGCTTCCACAAGAAACCCGGAATCAACGAGAAAATTATACAAATTAAACTACTTATTCCACATTATATTATATTCCACATTTATTATGTATAACATTTATGAACGAAATTCATAACAAAATCTTGAGCACACAGTGCCAGCTAAGTTAAACTTCAGACGATCGGCTACAGAATTCGTGTCACGACTCGACTTGTGTTACCGACCGCTGAATACAATGTTCGTTTGTAAATCGTAAAAAATGTAACATAAGTCCTCTTCTTAACATTTGTTCACTAAATTGGTCACAAGTTAAAATAAAGGGCGGCTGAAGCTCTTTGGCGGTGCAGAAAATAAGTTACAAGTGATTATATAATAAAAATAAGAAGGGAATAATTAGCATTATTACTTTATATATTAATGTATTTATACCAAGAAGCAATTATAAATAATTTGGTCATAGAGATGTTTAGCGTTACCCATATTTTCTCAAATAAATTATTGCTACAATTTGCCTAAATATATTATTAATACCTTTGAATTCTGTATTGTATTAAAATAGCAGAACATTTAGTATACTATGATAGTATAAATATCAAGTTATTACTCCTTAAATACAAGGATGCCACGAAATACAAGTATTACGGGCGTGATAGACAGACGAGAATATAATTTTCTATATTATATAAGACTAAACATAGCTTAACTACATAGAAGGTTTATAGAAGGCAGATATGCACTTTAATGTTGAGCTGGGAGTTACAAGTACCTTGAAATATGACACTGAAATTTTGTTTCATAAAATAATGAAACATTGTAATTTTAACGTTTTGTTTATTAATAAAATATTGTTACAGTGTAATGCTCTATAGCAGTGCTTGTTAATTTTATATCTAGCTTTGGTCTTCACAACTCTTTGGTTGTTTGTTTTAGTAAAGATTTGTTATAGTACTGAAGTTCTTACCAAGCTCAACATTGGAAGTGTAGTCACTAGCCTGTGACGTCACTAGTGGACAACGACCGCTCGCTACACACACTATGACAGCGCACTCACACACACACACACACACACGTATTACATCTATACATTTACTCCCGACGAGGCTTGCGTTTCCTTTGTCCGTCACCGGCGCCCTCTGTGTCCACTAATGGTGTAGTCTGGAACAAGATGACAAGTTTTATTACGTATACCAAAAATACGTTTCGGAATTTGAATCGACAAATCCAATTGCAATAGAAGAGGTAACTGTGTTCACAAACTTCTCTTAAATTTTAAGGCGAGATAGGTAACATTTTTATAACTAACACTATAATTGAGGGGTCACTTTAGGTGCTTCGTTACGCTAAGTTATTCTTAGTTAAAAGATGGTTTAAGAGTGGTTGGTGGAAACAGTCTTATGTCCTTTTCACTCTTATTAAAATCAGATTAATCTTATACTTATTATATTGTATAATATATAAAGCCAAAGAGTTTATTTGTTTCTTCGAGCCTGCACATCTCAGGAAATACTAGTCCAATTTGATTTTTTTTTTTGTGTTGGATAGCCCATTTATGGCTAACACATCACGCTACGATCAATAGGCATCGAGCAGAGCGGGGAAAAAAACGCGCGGAAGTAGCTAGTTTCACAATAAAAACTTACGTCAGCTACTTCTTCAGTGGTAGTGATAACTTCAGCATCATCGTTATCAACCTCTGGCCCCTCAAGGTCGGCCTTGCTGGGCCTCTCAGCTTCCTCCTTGAGTTCCTCCTCAGCTTCAGCTTCACCTTCAGACAGGTGAGGATCATCCTCAACCACCGCGTCCGTCTTCTTCATGTCGGCGTCAGAATCCTGTATTTAATTATTATATTGTAGGATTTTTATTATCGATAGATTGATAGACCTGCTAAATAAAGTCTTTTGCTGTGCAAAAGTCGAATCGCGCTATCAATTACGACGATGCCTTTCGAGAAAATTTGGGATAAGGTTTCCTTTGGCTCGGTTACCGGAGACTCTACCTCTACCGGAGAGACTACGTCGTTTTCAGTGAGGCCGTGGTATCACTCCGGTTGAGCCGGCCCATTCGTGCCGAAGCATGGCTCTCCCACTCTTGAGAAAAACTCTAGTGCTAACCATCTTTGAATTTACTGTATCTTTAATTAACCCAAGACAATTTTACTTACCGACTTAGATCCGAAGCAGGCGTAGGCCACAAGTCCGACGACCAAGAAGGTGACAACAATGAGCAAGGCATATACCCAAGGGTTGTCGCCAGCGAACCTCATCGCGCGGTCGAACACAGAGTCCTGTGGATATTAGCTGTGATACAAACTAGCAAACTACGTTTAGCCTACGTCACACAGTTTAGAAGGGGAATGTAGTGTTTGAGATATCTTACCATGTCTGCAATTTGCTGTATTTAATTTTGGTATTGAAATTCAAGTACTTACTTGAACTTATACTTATAAGTGCGAGGATTTAAGTAATAATGTACATTGTGGACCTTACGACTGATGGGCTGACGTTTAACAATAAAGGGAGAAAGTGACTAGCGTTAATTGACTTTAAAGTACAGTTTATTGTAATTACTTAAGCTTTTCACTCAATAAGTCGTATAGCATAGGATTTTCCATCAAACGAACTAGCTTAATGGATTTAGTAAAGATTTGTTATAGTACTGAAGTTGATGTTTTACTAAAGCTGAAATTCACCAGTTGAACACACAACCGAGCTAAGTTAACACCTAAATACCCTTCAAACTTAGCCTCTTTGCTACATAATTAAAGTGTGTAAGACTAGACCTCATTGGCTCGCCGTACGAGACAGACGATGTATGCCACGATAGGTATAGCGACGTACACCGCGTACAGAGCCCACCAGCCCGGCTTGTAGTTCATCGCACGTAACATGCGACCCCATAGTGTTTGCTGGTACAGTTCGTTATTTTACAAGTTGAACTATTAATATAGTTGATTTCTTACAATTAAGTTATTTTTTAATGTTGCAATTAAGGGGAGGAGAGAAACCATCTCGAGTCTGTTATACCACTTTTAGGGTTATTTCATTCAGTATTTTATTAACTTTATTCGACGATTAATGATTTTTATTGAATCCCATGAAGATTAGGGAGTGTTGCAGATATACAGTGTATATCCACTTTTGTCTGTTACGATATAAGTCCCATATAAAATTGTAATATAGAGGTATAATAAGTACAAGTATAAATTACAATGCTACAATTTAATTGCACTTACCGAATCCCTGGAGATCTTAGCACGTTTAAGTGCGAAGGTGTTCTGAGCCCATTCTTCAGCAACGGCCAGGTCGTCCGTAATGATCAGATTGTCGAACAAAAGCATTGGAGACATCGACCATAGCTCGAAGCCGACGGCATGCTGGATAGTAAAGGAAATAAAATAGACATATTAAGGTATACCCAACTCTTGAGACAAGCTTTAAAGCTGAGCATTTATGTAAAATAAATGTGTTTAGTAAACTCCTTCATACAATTGAAAATTTGCTGCAAAATTTATTACTAATCTTATAAGATTATGCAAACATTGCATTTTCGACTTTATTAAAATAACAAAGAGTAGCATATAGAATAACAAACAATAAAGTAGGAAATCGGTTATAGAAAGGCAGCAAATACTAGTTCAATGATTTAATTTTCTATTCGTCTTTAGTGTCTTGATAATTAATGGTTAAGAAGAATATTTTCTTTCAAACCTATTAGATATATTATACTCACAATAGGCGTCATACGGAATGGCGTTTCGTCCTTAAAGTAGTCCGGGTTGGGAATGCGACGTGGTTTCCACTTGCCTTTGTAGTCAGGGTTCGTGATCAGGGGAGCGCGCCAGATACCCTGCAATATTACATTGTCAGCTCTAGAGACATTGTTACAAAGTTTAAAATTTAAAGGAAAATTAGTATAATGTCATTTTTTTAAAAGAACCATAGATAGTAACAGAAGAGCTAAATACAGGTATAAATCGAAATGGCTACAAAATAATAATAATAATTTATTTTTATTCTTAAGCACTTAATACAATATATGATTTTAGCTTCTGTAGTCGAACTAGGCATTGCCTGTATTTCGACTGTCAAGTTAGTCAAAATACAGGTAATGTCTAGAAATGGTTCACTGGCACGGCTGCCAATAACGTAAGCGTTGTTTCACATCCGTTTTCTGTGAGCTCGTGGTATCAGTAGGCCTGTCCTATGTCCACCGTCTGTACTATAAAGGCACTTGGGGCCCGTGCCCAGGGCCCCCATCCTCAGGATCCCCGAAGGACTGACCATTTGTACGACTGTAACACACACGTTGCGCATTAACGGGCTGCCGGTAACGTGTAGCATGTACGTTTCCCGCACGGAGCAAATGCTTGTGTGATCCACAAATTAATGTGTTGGGTCTGGGTGTCAAGTGTATGCGAACTTGTATGTTCGTAAACGCACCCACGATACAGGAGAAAATCCTAGTGTGGGGGCAACGTTAAAGAAAAGGAGTATTCCACAAGGGCCCCGAATTATTGTGCCCAAGGGCCCCAGTGTAGTCTAAGACGGCCCTGGGTATCACTCCAGTCGAGTCGGCCTATGCATACCGATTAGTGTGTTATGTAGATAGTGTTCATTAAAATCCTATGAAACTAGTCGTACGTACCTTGTAGTTGGGGTTGGGAATGGTAGGAGGGCTCCACTTGCCGCATCCTGGAGCGGAGCTACACACTGGGTTGTCAATGAGAGGAGCCTCCCATTCACCATCCATATCCTCGTCCCAATCCTCGGGCTTCTTAGCATCAGGGTCTGGAAGTTAAATAATCCAAAATATCCATACATCTGCAGGTATCTTATTAAAGTCAATAGTACATTTTAAATAACCTCGCAATAGTTTGCCCGACCCAGGAATCGAACCCGAGACCACTTGCCTGTCGCACTTGCGACCACTCGGCCAACGAGGCAGTTTAACCAACTTTTTGTTTTATACTAACCAGGAATCATCTCAGGTTCATCGTCGAGCCAGCCATCGGGTTTGAGAGCGTTGGGGTCAATGATCTGCGCCGGCGCATCCTCGTCCCAGTCCTCTGGCTTCTTCGCAGTTGGGTCAACAATCTAAACAAAAGTAACATTTGCGGACTCAAACTTAGCTGTGTATATAAATTAAATTTATTATGAATTTTTGAGTTTTTGCTCAGTCATTATATTTTGTTTATGAGTTATGACAAATGAAGAAGATTTGATACAGTTAGCAAAATTGTCTAGTCTAGTCTATTATAAGTTTTAGGTGAATATCTATTCGTACTTGTTACTAGACCATTAAGGATTTCAAAAGATGTATAAACATTGCACTCTATTTAGCTAAAATAAATGATGGCGTCATGACATAAAAGCCATGCACTGGCCTATAGACATCGTTTCACACACGTATTTACTAGCAAAACACTCAACACCTTCGTTGGCACATTGCCAAGTGTATTTCACAAACAAATTGTACTGAAAATGTACACAAATAGACTTTTGTGCTTAAAAGTTCAATGTTTCTTTGTTCTTTGTTTTACAGTATAAATATACATAGGTACAAGTTCATTGTCCACTATAAAGATATGGGTGCACCGACAGATCGCTATTCGCGATAAGACTGCTCATTATATTATGAATAATTGTATTGTATGCAGTGTATAAAATCTTATTTACACTGATGTTAATAGTAAAGTAACTAACGAGATTGTTACAGGACAGGGATAGCGCACCTTGACGTACAAACAAGCCATTTATTGGTGCCATAAAAAAACTTTTGATTGACCTTTCGTATTAACCTACTATAAATAGTAATCAAAGTAATGAGAATCCCGACGGTACGGTACTCTCCATAAATTATTATGTTTTCGGCTTACTCATTTCGTAGCATTTCGTGACCGGTTCGCGACATGCTACAGTAGCAGCGTGACAGTCGCAGCGTCAGAATGCTGCTCATGAATATGAGGCTATAGCATGGTTTGAAACTAGTCGAGTTCCTCGTCAACTAATTACGTGAGTAAGCCGAAAACATAATACTTTATTTAGTATGTCTCACAAAACATAATACTTTATTTAGTATGTCTCACAAAACATAATACTTTATTTAGTATGTCTCACAAAACATAATACAAAAAGTAAACTCTCCATTGTTAAGTATACCTGCAACCAAAGACGTTGAAAAAAAGGCAGACACAGTCTCTTGAAACCACGACTGTAGCATGATTACTATAGAGTTACACGCAGAACATACACACATTGACACGAAGGCCATCTGTCTATTTCTTAAGTGTGGCAACGTGGTAACTCATTAAACATGCACACATAAATAAGCCACTGACATTTTGGTGCTTCAAATTATTTCTAAGTGACATTACAACTGCCTTTTTTCCACATCCTTGCCTGCAACACGAGACATCTTAAGTGTGTTTTCGCCAGCCATTCCAGCATTCCTGTTACAGGATCTCAGAAGTATAAAAATAATATTTTACCAACCTTTTCCCTCTCATCCCAATCCTCGGGTTTCTTATCATTAGGGTCGTTAATTTCTTCTGGTGGGTTGACAGGCGGCGCGAAGTCTTCCAATAGAGATCCAGCGTTGACCTCCTTGTTGTCAATGAGAATGCTGAACGAGTTGTCTGGTCGTACAATGAGCGTGTAGAGGTGAGGTTCCTTGTCCTTGTATATTTCGTCCAGACGTTGACTGTAGAGGAAGAAAATTTTTACTTAATATCATGGTTGGTCATGGGTTGTTTAGTTGGAAGTTGGTTATTTTTGGTTATTTTTCTGAGTGTGATGTGAATGCCATGCACCCGCGACACTCGACAGTGACAAGACAAAAAGTTACCACATATTGTAACAAGATATGCACAAAACCACTACCCTTCCTACAATCGGGTAAAATGGTGAAGAGACTGTTACTCAAATATAAACTACTGATATTTCAGAATCGGTAAACCCAATGACACACACCTATTAGACCAGAAATTCCTGGCTTAACAGCCGTAGCTACAACAATAGGCTGCTTAGATACTTACGTAGGCTTCTTGCTATGCTTCTCTTCATAGGCACCAGTCTTGGGGTTCTGATGTCTGAAGATGAAGTGCAGTTTGTTGTCGTTGCCGCACTTGTCTGGGCCAAACATGATGGTGTAAGGAGTCTGGTCGTAGAACTTGCGGAGGTCAGCCCGAGTGTTGGTGCCGCGGGATAAGAGCTTGATGTACGCACCACCGCAGTTTTGGCCTTCCTGCAATTTGATGGCATATTTAAGTCATTAAAAAAACTACATTCTATATATTGTACAGACAGGTAAGAAGTAAGGTTTCGTGAAAGATCAATCAGTACCTGACAAAGACTCAAACATCTCCAGATCTAATTAAAACCATTTTCTTCCTTATTATATTTCAACATAAATTCATATCATCACAGTCTATCACTCATAGTAACATGTACCATTAGTATTTATGACCAAACATAAACAATCAAAAATAGTAATTTTACAAAAATAATTCATGTAGGATGTGATTTACAGCGTTTTGAGCAAACAAACAAAAACTTATTGACGTGATCAAGTTATTTATAAACGAATGATAACGAACTTCCGAAAACAGTTTTGGATTCAGTCCAGGACATGTACCGACATAGAATATGTTTGTAAGCCATCCTCTATTTTTTGTCTTTAAAAAGCTAATGATCTGAGGCTAATTTGCTTATATGCAATTTGTCGTAAACATCTGTTTAAATTTTTGTTTCAAAAATAATAGTTTGAAACTATTTTGTGTCATTTAGACATTGTCGTTGATGGGTTATAAACTAAATTAGACTAAATTAATTCGACTTATAATCTTTTTGCATGTAAAATCTTATACTTTATTACCTATATAAAGCGGAAGAATTTGTTTTTTTGTTTGTTTGAACGCGCTAATCTCCGTAACTACAAGTCTTATTTGAATAATTATTTTTGTGTTGGTTAGCGCATTTATCGAGGATGGCTATAGGCTATAAAACAATAAGAGCTACGACCAATAGGAGCTGAGCAGAGCGTGTGAAAACGCGCGGAAGTAGCTAGTTCAATCTAAATCTGTACAAGAGTCTTTGGTTAACAATGAGTAACATTCATCCAATAATAAACATTCTAATGTAATAAAGATGTACCTACTCTGCTTAGTAGTGAAATGATGTAATACTTAGCAACAAATTACAAAGCTAGCCAAATCAATACCATAACAAAATCAGGTCATACTTTCTCGCTAATTAGCTTACGAGATTTATTACAAACTCGATGAACATTTACATGCTGTATTTAGGTACGAGTCTCACCTCTTACGCGGTATAGTTACCTACACTTACGTGGAAAATATGAATAGGTTCCAACAGTAAGCCGATAAGCCAATTAGTGACTCAATTGAATAAGTTTTACTCTACATAACTAAGCAATATGTAAAACCACACACTCAGTCTAAGACATTTTGCATCATTGAACATTTTACCTTTTGTGTTTTAGAAATAGATCTGAAATCTTTTTTCTTGACTTTAGTCTGGCACATGTATTGGCTGTGTTGAGATTGTTCTTTTAATAAGACAAGTAAATTACACATTTTTAATATCTTTTTGGGATGACAAACATTCATTGAACTTATTTGACTCGGAATAATTTATTATGCTAAGAATAGCGTCATAATAATATGCAGCTGTTTCATATTTATACACAGTTTTTTATGAAGTAAGTAACATATTCGCCTTTTCGTCTGTTCTAGAAGAATAGAAATCCATTAACATTACGCTATTGTAGTACTGAGTTCTCTTCTGTCTGATTCTCTTATAAGTTAATTCAGTCTTCATTTAAGTCAAGGTTTATTCAAACTTCTTGGTATAATATTATGTTTATTTTTAATTATTGTATTTTTTTTTAATATCGGACATATAATATTTATTAAAAATTATTGCAATTGAACTTGTTAAATTCTAATTTTAAGGTAGGTATGTATTTTATGGAATTTTGTTGTTATTTTCTTTTTCTCTAATTAATAAATAGTATTTCATTTTTAAGCTATTGTTAAGCCGATGTCATAGATATATGGCTGATGTATTGCCAATGCTATGTACTCCATTATTGACACATGCATCAGAGCATTATTTTGTTACATTTGTGTATTTTAAATGTTATATGTTTGTGGTGTGGCAATATTTCTTTGAATAAATAAATATATTATGGTAATGCAAAATTATTATTCTTGTGTATGTTAAACTTTACCTGCATAGTGACTTCATACTGGACAATGAAAGGTTTGTTCTTGAATTCAAATGGCCGCTCCAATAGAGTTGCTATGGCCGCATGCTTCGCTTCAGTTGTTAACACCAGACCCAAGTCATCTTTGAAGATCTTTCTGCTTGGTTGTTGAATCTGAAATATGACAAAAGTATTTTTTTTTTGAATCTTACTCCTAATGCTTGAACTAATATACTGGAATGCATGTCTAAGACATAACACATTAAATCTCTTATAGCTACAGTCAATGCCTTTGATGGAACACAGTAACCTACGGTCATTTGCTACACCAGTCACTTGTCCATTCTTGGCCCTACTCATCAGCTCATTAGACTACTCGATTTTTTGTTTCAGTAAATAAGTTTTATCTTAATTTAAGGTGTTAAAGAGAAATGGCGGAGTAATCGGCGAACAAATAAAGCAGCATACAGCCGAACATAGTACTTCCTCCTTTTTTTAAATTGTCAAAAAATATAAGTCATGTTTTATGTAAGAAAAATGACTATCAAATTTCGTCATTCATAGAGTAAATGTAGATTGTGAATGTATTATTAAATATTATCAGTTGTAAACTCCACAGTAAGGTAATGTTTGAGTAAAATTAGCTAAGGAAATCAAGATAACAGCATCTAAAAACATCAACTGTAACAGTACAAAACTACTTCTTCATGTTAATTTCTATTAATTTTATCAATAATAGTTTAAACATTTATTTATAGATTTCTAATGAATTTTGTGGTTGATAGTAATTTGTCTAATTACTGCATACTTTTTGGGGCTAATTATGATTGAAATGCATTTCTATAAACCTGTTTGACTATGTTAAATTTCATTCAACAATTCATTGATGAACATCTAACTGTAATTCATAGATGAAATAAGACACAATAGCCATAATTATGTCAAAGTCAAAGATCATGATTCATGATTTGAAGTGCTAGTAGTCACACCATTCTCACTTCTACACCTTTTTAGTTTCAGAATACAAAGAGTTAATTTTGAAAGTAATGAACGACTCACCTCCCATTTGCCATCATACTTGGCAATATTATCATCAACACCCTGTTTCTTTGCTTCAGACTTCACCCACTTCTTTTTGAAGGCAGCTGCATCATCAAAATGTTCAGCTAAATACACTTTTTCGGGGCTTATTTTAGGGCTCTGGTATAGGTTTTCTTCTTCCACAGTCTATAAATAAAGAAATATTTAAAACTGCATGCCAAGTGGACTTAACAGTGTTATGTAGGGTAATGAATAAACATGTTATTTATCTCCTGGTTTATCGGAACAGATCTAAGCAACACTATGTAATTTTTATTGTGTACCATATAGTGGCAAATTAGATGTTAATACATTGATTAGGGAAATTACAAAAGAACAAAAATAGATGAATAAGAAACACCATTATAATAAGAATGTTTAATTATGCAACTTCTATGAATTCAATTGCTTTTTCATTAATTCAAGTAAGTAAATATGATTTCTGTCAATGTCTTGTTTTTTGATTTTTTTAGTTCATAGTTCGAGTTGGTGTTTAACATGGATCTACTCTAATCTACTTTATACAACCCGTTGAGGGTGACACTATAATTTTGATCTGACATAGATAATGTGGACAATTAAACTGGAGCCGGAACTTTTAACATTGGTCTTTAGAGGAAGACTTGCAGCCCGGAACGTTAAATGTACAATATTTCAACATTAATGAATGATTGGACATTAATTTGCATCAGTTACCTATTGTTCTAGGGTTAAGGGTGTGTAGCTCTGGCACAGGCACCCATTAACAAGCAATACCAAGACAATTAATGAAATAAGTTACAAAAATTTATACAGAAATACAATACACTTATAACATGTGAATACAGAACTTCTGGGATGAACTTAATGGAACACAGTCATGATACCACAATGTATGAACCAGGAGAGAAAAAAAAAACAATTCTGATCAGACACTAAACCTAGATCTCAATCTTATCTCTAGATAATAATGTGGGTCAGAAAAGTTTATGTCAGCAGTTCTTAATTCAATAGTAATCGTCGGTAATTTATTCAGGTCATCAATGTAACCTATCAACTAACCTCCACAGTCGCCTCGTCGTCCCCATCCTTATCCTTTGGCTCCTCAGCGTGCACCACACTCAATGTATTCACTAACACCAGAAAGGCACCCAATAGGTATATTTTACGGCTAAATAAAGCCATCTGTAAAATAAAATGTAACACTGATGGAACACGTCGGCTAACTAAAAAAAGTGTCGACAATGTCCACGAATGAAACAACTTGCTCAGTATATACTCCGCCACGAGAAAGGGACTTAATTTAATTAGAAATATGTATGAATTTATGTAGCGTTCGGATACAAGTGTGTTCGGTCATTCGGTGCAGCCGGATAACGGAAATCCTCAATATAGGGCGACCAAAATCCATTAAGAACATTTAAGTTAAATTGAAATAATTCATACTAGTCATTACCTTGAAATGTATTTAATTCACTTTTGACTTTATACCATACGATTTATCCGACGCACAGAAATCAAATAAATTCCCTTTGAAAGGAATTTGATTTTCCTGAAAATTTTCAGCCAATCAAAAACAAACAGTTGTCAAGGTAGCGATCGAGAATTTTCCGAAGCGTTCAAATTTTGTACATGTATTTTAATAAAACATAAAAATATCTATATAATATAAAAAAAATAACTTACATTCAGGATGAAATTAATACACTTATTATGAAAATGTTTTTGTTCAAAATATGTTAGACGATTCTAAAGATTCCTTTTTGTTTTGTGCACTAGGCTGAATACGCAAATGTCATTGTCAAACACAGTCGACAACAAAAAAGTTATTATAAACCGACTAAATTATGAAAGTTGATTTGGAAATGTCACTTCCTAAGGCATCTCTCTCACTCCTTTGAGTAGATTAACTAGGAGAAGAAGAGATGAGATAGATGAGATGGTTTTACTAAGTCTCTTTTTAGATTAGTAGAGTGCGCTAGCACCTAGCACCGGGCGGTTTAGTTTTTTGTATTTCGTTTGGCCGTGCATTCGTGTCTTATTGAAAATCTTGTTTTTCTTTATGGTGATGTATCAAAACATCTTTTATAATTTTATTGGTTTATCCTCGTGAAACGGCAGTATTTACATAAACCTGTGAAAGATATATTGTGTGAGTATTGCATGCTTGTAGATTTATACAAATGTACCAACAATATCTTGATTACTTACTGTTTATTTACTTTTTATGAATATAGTTTTATATCGTTAGGAATACTAGGTATATTATACAAACTATTCTATTAAAAATTTGCATTATCAGAATTTTGCTAAAAATGAAAATTGATTAATTAGAATCATTTATCAGATTAGGGTTGTTATCAGTTTATCATATCGGAAACCCAAATCTTCATAAATTAGGGTACATTTTTGTAATTCCCGTGGAAATTACTTATAAAGTAAATATCTAATCTTCTTTAAAAATTCGAGTTACAGTGTCAGAATTCAATTAACTTTTTTTTAATTATAAATCAACATACCTATTTTTTTATTCGTTTAAATATAAAAAAAGAACAGTTGCCGCAGAATTCATTCAAAATAAATAAATGTAATATGATACAGACATATTATTACTCAAAATAAAAAAAATATTTGTGTTTGTTTCAGCATGATGGCTATCTCAAGGCGTCAAATATTACGCCTTTTAAGGGTCCGTAATCTTCTAATGCTGACTCTGATAGCTTTACTGCTGTACATAGTTAAATTACTGAACAACCTAGATGCTGGCAACCAATTCTCAAATCAAGCTCTTGAAGTGATCCGTGCACCACTGAGGTTCCGACAGGATAAAGACCTTTTTGTACCAGCTAAATTAAATGTGAGTAAAAAATATATAATTTTAATATTGGTTTGATAAATAATATATCTAGTTCTATTTTAAAATGAGAAATATGCATGCAAAACTAATTTTCCATATTTATTTTTTATTACTTAGCAATTAAATTGTATTTTATTTAGCAATATGATATCATTCCTTTAAAATAAACATTAATGTTTTAAAAGTAAGGAGCTGATGATACGGAATTAGTCATGTATGATAATTTATATGTAGAACTCCATAAATTACATTCAACGAAATTGTGTTGATTCTCCACTAGAGTTAATTGACTGTCTAAACAGGTCTAGCTGCTAAATATGAATGACCTCAACACTTGTATACATAGCAGTGGGTCAAGTTATTCCAATATAACAATTTTCTATAAAAATGTTTATTTATTACATAAAATATATACTTTTCAAAATAAGAAAAAAAATATGTGTACCTTAAAATACATAAAAACTAATAGAAAAAATAAAATTTTCTATAATAGTCATTACAAATGTGGATTTGTGCGGACATTGAGAAACTAGGATTAGCGTCGGGCAGCTGTACCTTTATCAGTGACGCGCACGGTTGCACGCGATGGCTTGATCATTGTGTTGTCACGCAATCGGCATGGTCAACTGTAGCTGATATAGGGGTAGTGCAAGATGTGTTTTGGTCTGATCACCTTCCCTTGTATATTGAGTGTAGACTAGATAAAATAAAACCTAAATCTGAACTTACTAAAACATCTCGTAATAAAGTAATTTGGGGTGAGAGGGACAGTGATCAGATAAGTATATACTATGATCTGTGTAATAGCCAATTAAGACTGATGGATTACCCACAGGAATTTGGTATGTGTAGTAATAAACACTGCAGTAATGTTGCCCATAAACGAGTTCTTGACAATATGTATGCAAATATTGTTTTTATTTTGTCCGAAGCCGCTGTTCAGAGTCAGGTGGAAACTCGGTCAAACGGACATAGTGGTCGTGTTGTGGGGTGGAACAGACACGTCCGAGATGCCCACACGAGGGCCAGGCTTAATTATCAGCGTTGGTTATTGCATAATAAACCAAGGTCGGGTGATATTTATAGCGACATGTGCCGCACGCGAAGTATTTTTAAAAGTAAGCTCAGGTGGTGCCAGACGCATCAAGATCAAATCAAGCTTGATATTATAGCTTCACACCGTAAGGCTAAAAACTTTCAAAAATTCTGGAAGGCAACAAAAAAGCTAGATGTTAGGCCTGGCCTTCCTGTGAGTGTCGGGGGTGCTGATCAGCCAGACCTCATTGCTAATATGTTTGTTGACCATTTTAAAGTGGAGTCACCGCGGGGCTTATCAATGCGAGTGCTCGATGACGGGTGCTGTAGTGACTCGGATTTAGTACGTTTTTCTGCGAAGCAAGTGTTTAAAACAATTAAGAAAATGACTCGAGGAAAATCCCCGGGTTACGATGGCCTGAGCATCGAGCACCTGCAGCATGCCGGTCCTCACTTGGCTAGGGTACTGGCTATGTTTTTCTCATTGTGTATGTGTCATTCGTACCTCCCTCAAGATTTAATGCGAACAATTGTTGTGCCTATAATTAAGAACAAGACTGGCGACGTGTCTGATAAATGTAATTATAGGCCCATCTCCCTAGCTACAATTATCGCAAAGGTGCTCGACAGCCAGTTGGACGCTTGCTTGGACGGCTTATTGCAACTTCATGATGCACAATTTGGATTCCGTAGTGATCTGTCTACCGAGAGTGCTATTCTGGGTCTTAAACATACAGTGCAATATTATACTACACGACAAACACCGGTCTATGCCTGTTTCTTAGACCTTTCCCGTGCCTTTGACCTGGTATCATACGATGTTTTATGGGATAAGCTACGGGAGAGAAAAGTCCCAGCTGAGCTGTTGCGCATATTTCAGTATTGGTACTACAATCAAACAAATAATGTGAAATGGGCCGATAAGCTTTCGGTGTCATATAGTTTGGATTGTGGTGTCAGACAAGGAGGGATAACGTCGCCTAAGCTTTTTAATCTCTATGTCAATGACCTGATCGTTGAGCTCAGCAGCAAGAAAATCGGCTGTCGCATAGATGACGTCACAATCAATAACATAAGTTACGCCGACGATATGGTGCTGCTGAGTCCATCGGTCAGGGCGCTCAGGGAACTGCTGAAGTGTTGTGAGTCCTATGTTCATGCACATGGCTTATTGTACAATGTCGCAAAAAGTGAGTTCCTGGTTTTTAAGGCGGACGGTGGTAAATGCCCTGAATCCGTGCCCGCAATTACACTGAACGGAAATGAACTACAGAGGGTCTACCAGTTTAAGTACTTGGGGCATTACGTGACCGATGACCTTAAAGATCAGGTGGATATTGAAAGGGAACGTAGGGCGCTGACAGTCCGATGTAACATGTTGGCACGGAGGTTTGCACGTTGTAGCGAGCCAGTCAAGATAACGCTTTTTAAAGCTTATTGCCAGGTGTTCTACACGTGCAGCCTGTGGACCAAATACACGCAGCGGACTCTCAGCGCCCTGCGGGTCCAGTACAATAACGGATTTAGGATGTTGATGGGGCTGCCCCGACACTGCAGTGCATCTGGTATGTTCACCCAGGCACACGTTGATGGCTTCCAAGCCATCATCAGACAGAAGTCGGCCTCATTGCTCTGTAGAGTGCGGGCCAGCTCCAACTCCATCCTGAAAACGATAGCAGGGAGGTACGATTCTCCTCTAATTTATGACATTGTTCGTAGATGCATCACGAGCAATAAGCTAGTTTCTAAGTAGCACGTAATCATTGGTATCGGTGATGTTGTTCGTGGATGCATTTACGAATAGCAAACTTTTTTACTAATTAATTACTAAAGTGTACTAACATAGATATAAGTTATTTCTACTAATAACCTATGGATGCTTCTGGTCCGAAATAAAGAGTATTTTATTTTATTTTATTTATTTTATTTATTACTGTATGCACTTTTTGACTAGGACTAGTTGCATAAGGGCTTTAAATTTTATTTTTAATAAAAAATAAGATATCAGCTTCCTAAATATAATATAATAGTAGGATTCCTTCCTATCTCATTTATGGCAATGGACTGGCTCCATATTGTTTTTTTCTAATGGGACTTATATACTATTATATAGAGCTGAACAGTTTGTTTGAATGCACTAATCTCAGCAACTACTAGTCCGATATGAAAAATTCTTTAAGTGTTCAATAGTACACTTATCGAGGAAGGCTACAAGCTATAAAAATCATGCTCCGATCAATAAGAGCCGAGAAGAGCGGGTGAAACCGCGCGGAAGTAGGTAGTAATAATATAAATGGCAAAAAATGGGTGTCAGTTACATGGTCACCTTTACATTTATATTATTTAGACATTTTACCTCCTTCAAGAAGTAAAAACTAGTATGTTATTGTTATGTAATTAAATAAAATTTTTTAAAGTAAATTACTTTAAAAATTTCAAAGTAAATTACTGGGATTTAACCACTACGAGTAGTTTGAACTGCTGAGTTTTGTAGTACATAGCATAATAAAATAATAATTATATTTTTTTATCAATTTGTATTCTTATTATTACAGAAAATCGACTGGCATGACTATGTTTTGTTAGATCATGAAAGGAAACGAGTGGGTGAGTATTATCTACTGATTAGCATTAAATTGTAGTGTGGTTTTAAAGCTTTGAATTTAAATTACCTTGTGAATATTACCTAATACTGGCTGGTTGAACAGAGTTTATTCTTTTTTTATTTCAAATATTTGTTCCGGGGCTAGATGTCATGTATAAAATAAAAATAAAATTCAAAATTATTTATTTCGGACATCTAAGAGATCGATAAAATTCATTAATATCTATACTATACATCATTAATATCATACCATCGCAGTCATACAAAATTTAGTCAAATATCATAATTAACTACATTAAAATCAGTCATACTTACGTAAAGTATACATATGTGAATTTGTATAAAATATTGGAAATACAATACCACATATTTTTTAAATAAAGCTAATTAAAATATAAATCACTTATTGGTAAAGTTATTGCATAGGCTCAGATTCAGAATACAAATTCCTTCAGTTGTTTACACATGCTAAAAAAGGTTTACTCAATTAGGTATGTTGTATATTGCAAGCATTGAGTAGTAAACATTGGATTGCTTCATGTTGATACATACTCAAGCTACATTGATAGAATACAAAAGATATCTTGCGCACAACCAGAACAATAATATTACATTATTTCAAACATAACATCATCAGCAGAAGGAACCCACTGTTGAATAAAGGTCATAATGGGTGATTTAAGGGTAGTTGGGTCACCAAAATATGCTATTTTCTTGGTTTTTAACACATCCCCAAGTTTTAAGCATAACATTCTCAAAATAATAAACATGTTACTGACGTTTATAGATGTTTATTTTATTCCCTAGGTATCGGTGAACACGGAAAACCAGCATTTTTGCCAAAATCTGAAAGTGAACACGAAAAGGCGTTGTATTCTGTGAATGGTTTCAATGGCGCGCTGAGTGACAAAATTCCACTGAACCGTTCTCTTCCCGACATTCGGCATAGTAAATGTACGACGAGACTGTACATTGCGTCTTTGCCTACTGTGAGCGTTGTGGTTCCCTTCCACAACGAGCATTGGAGTACGTTGCTCAGGACTGCCTTTAGCGCGCTGCTACGTTCACCCAGCACTCTGTTGAGGGAAGTTATTCTAGTCGACGATGCGAGTACCAAAGGTAAGATTTCTAGTTAATATTTTGATAAAATATTTTATTCTATACCTACCTACACTACGAACATTAAATTTTCATTTTTATTTGAGGCCTATCTCACCCGAAAGGCCAGCGACGCATTTGTCACTCGAGAATAGCTTTACAAACGCGTTGATAGGACGAGTTACTTACTACTCGCGACCATGGGTGGCCATGAATAACTCTAATTGATCATCATCTACTTGTTTGCCCGCTCCCCCCAACCCAGAGAAACCCATAGTCACAGTTATGTATTACTTATTGCGATTGTGACAGGCAGAGGGCGAACCTTCTAGTGTATAACAGATTATACACTGGAATAGGTACCTATATTCTATACTACATGCTCCACAAATTGGGTACTTGCTAACTAGTCAAATTCAATACTTTTTTCGAACTGTCAAAAACGACAGTTTTCTATGAATTTTGTACGCGATTGTGTATTGTGACGTTACAGTTTTTTAGCGTCAAACGAGGTACTTATTTCTTAAAAAAATTGCTAGAAAATTAATAAAATTAAGATAATTATAAAATCAATTAATGGAAATGTGATTATTGTTAAAACTTTTATTGTATTGAGCAGCCGAAATATTTTTGATTAAGGAAAGAACCCAATTAAAAATAATCGTAATTATAAACCACCAGCACTTAAAAGACCACGTCGGTATGTTTGTAATATTTACAAACAATCGGCGAACATTGAGGGACACTAGGTACTTATTCTACTTTTAATTATAGGCACTAACTTACATAAACATAGAAATCTTAGTATTGATTTACTAGCTTATTGATATGGATATGCCTCGTTTAAAAGAGAAAGATAGAAGAGCAATATTGGAATTTCGGTATTGTACATTTAAAGAACCTTGACTTTCAACTTAAGTCAAGGTCACTGTTACTGAATGGGAGCAACTTCATATTGTCGACCTCGAGACATCGCAAACAGGGCCGGATTTAATTTTCAAATCAAAATTAAACGTAATTTTATCGCTTGATGGTTCTCATACATTAATGTGATTACTATTTAATGATATATACTGTTACATACCTTATCAGCTTTCCCTAATCAGCCCCTAATCTTATGATATCCACTTGAAGGAATATGATCTAATTGAAATACTGATTTGCTCCCTCTCAAGAAATTCGCAAAATGTAACGCTTACGTCAAAAGCATGACAAAAAAAAGGAGAAATGTCTGGTAAAGCAATGAATAAGGTTTACCTAATTACCTGTTAATGCGTAAAAAAACTAGTGCTTCTAAAATAACTATAATGTCTCTTTATATGTATAATTTTATTGACCTGTCGCCTCCTACAGACGTCGGTTCTCTTGAAAAGAAAAAAGTCTCAAACATTACAAAATAATTTGCAAAAATGGTATTAGCTGTATATGTTTATATGTCTAGACTGCTAGACTTAAGTTTTGAGCTTAGCAACGTACCTAATTAATAATTCATTTCTATTTATAAAGATTTAGAAAGTGCCGAATGTTAATTTTTATAGAACATTAGCTTTTATTACGTCGATTTTTTGAAACGATTGGTATTGTAGGTAAATAATAAAGTACCTACCTAATTATTAAGCTTTTATATCGGTTTTTTTTATGAAAGGGCTTTTAATTGGCTGTTGGTGGCCTACTTAATATGCCTAAATCTAGCCCTAGCCGCGATGCGAGGCTGAATAGTATTGATCTACACATTGAATATTCAGAAACGGTCCGAATGGTAACTAAAATAAATCTGATAGCAGATCTGGGAGATGGGCTTTAATTTTTTATCGATTTTATTTGGTCCTCCTGCTCTTTTCCTCAGCATTTTTTTCTGCATAACTTTCTCTCGCACTATCTTTCTCTATCTGACTCTTTCTCTTAGGGTTGTGGACAGTGAAGTTTAAGTTTCCGCGGATCTGATCAAACCTTGGGTAGCAACCACGTGGTGGTTGTCTTGGGCCTTGTCCCATTCACTTTTCCTCGTAAAGATGAGTCTCTCCTGATTGTTTCCATCTTCGAACGACTTTATCTTAGGGTTTTGAATAACGGAGTTTAAGTTTGCGCGGATCTGATCAAACCTTCTTGGGTAGCAACCACGAGGTGGAGTGGCCTTGTCCCATTCACTGTACCTGTTCAAGATGAGTTTCTCCCGATTATTTCCATCTTCGGTCGCTTAGTTTCGTCAAGTTTATGTAGTAAAACGGAATAAATATAGAAGCTACTTGTTTCAACGCACGCTCATACAATCAGATTTTTTGTTTATTTTTTTTTGTCGTGAGCATGAACTGTGTGAAGGCCATTGCAACCTATATAATTATTTTGCCTACCAAAATGGAATCTTGATTCCGAGTTTAATATTCAACATAGTGAAGGGAACTGCATGCTACAACTATTTTGTTTTTATTGCTTAATAAATATGGCTGTAATATAATACTGTACTATAATCGATTTTTTTCTGTACCATAATCAATTACTTACCTGCCTAAAAGTACATAATTTGCAAAATATCCAGTAAGGCACGTGTCGTGGCAATTGATACTTAAAATGAATGTGAATTTGTATAATTTTCAATTACCTATTTTTTTACCACAGTACTGTGGTTTTACGGCTTTCTCACATACATTAATGTTTGATTAGATTCAATAGTGTTAGATGCAGTCCGAATCATATTTGCTTTGTAATCTTTATTTTAATCAAATATTTTATTCACGGATGCAAATGCAAATAAATAATAAAATGATATTTACTACCTTGGGGATTGATTGAGTGGTTGCAAATGTCAATGCCTAGCAATGAGTCTTGCATTTGACTCTTGGGTTGATCAAAGAATTATTGGTGATTTTCGGTTTTTCAAATATATCCAATCTGAAATTGAGAAATATGACAATAGGGTCGCTCCTGTTACATGACACCATAACATAACAGCTAGGGTAAAATAGGCATACACGATTTATTACATAAGTGTTCCTCTACCAATCCCTCGAAGATTTAAAGGCATTATGTTATTGTATTAAACTATTGATTTCTATAACCATCACAAGTAGGTACAACTATACCTGTACATAACTCAATATGAACAGCTGATACATATTTCCAATACGACCTTCTAATTTGTAAGCCAACAAACAGTCCTGGCTTCCTATTGTTACGGTCCAACAATTTTATATGGATGTTAACGTTATTAGCTATGGATATTGTGTGTATGCTAATTAATGCTATTACTTGGACAAATAAATGTACTTATTTATGTACATTCTACACTATGTATAGCACTAGAATGTAAAGATTTTATAGGTACTTTCATTTTGCTATGAAATGGAAATATGTACACAAAGCACTGCTAATTAGTTCGTAACGCTCACATCGACACTACTGTCATTTACACAATGTACATGTGTGGGTAATTTCATATTACTGTGTATAAAAATATTCGTCCACCACGTTCACATTGGTATTTTCATTCTTGTGTCGGTATACGTATTTTTATAATTTAATGCATGGGTAAGGTTAAAACTATTTACAATCATTGATATGACCCGACATTTTCACTGTAATTATCGTAGTGCTCGTGGTCGATTGGTTAATGAGTACGCTTTTATCGTCTTTCAAGGATCAATGATGATGTGGGTTCTATTCCAGCTAAAAGTTTTTTTTTTATTTTACCTTGTTGTTTTCTTATTTATTTTTTTTTGTTTTTTGTCATATAATATAAATATCAGGCTATAAAAGAAGCAAATCAGTCGGTAAATAAAACAATACTATTTTTTATTAAAATTAATTTATTAATTATACAAATATGTGGTTTTATTCAATATTTATATCTAATAATTAATTATATACCACATGTTAACTTTAAATTTCTTCCAATCATTCTAAATAATTATTCTAAATAATAAATAACTAGAACTAAAATATAAATAAAGGATATTATAGGTATAAATAAATCTAAAGTATTTACTATTAAAATTAACATAAGATTTAGAAAAATAGGATAGGAAAAAAAGAAAAGATTTAATTGTTTCTAATTTCACATTTCAAATATTTGATTAATTAATACTAAAACAACATGTGAATGCTGGAATCGATCCGGTGGCACTTTACTTGACCACTGGAGGCGATAACCATTGCGCCAAACGCGCCGTAGATGAGAACTTCGAAATATTGTATATCATTCAGTAACATAAAAATACAATGAGAATGCACTATATTTATATAAGTATTGTATTGCTCGATCGTTCATTATTTTTGATTTCGATTTATTCAAAGTTTGTTATGAGTATTTTTATCTTTACCCTCGTTTTTATTTAAACTTATTTACTAAAATATTACGTATACCGACACAAAAATGATATGTGTGTGATAGAACGAATGTTTCTATACATATCTATTAATATGAAATTACCCACACATGTTCACTGTGTAAATGATAGTAATGTCGATGTGTAGCGCCTCGAACTAATTAGCGGTGCTTTGTGTACATGTACATTGTACACGCTACAATGATGTTTATTAGGTTCTATAGGCATGTGTAGGTGCATATTACTTTTTTATTGCAAGTGTTTACTAGTAATCATGAAGTTTACACAGTCAATTAAAAATGCAAATGCTTATGTAGGCGCTTGTTATTAAACATTAATAATGGTGTAATTTTTTTAAAGTCTGTACAATTAATTTAACCGTATGTAGTTTTCTATCGTAGGTGTTGTAGGTGTCGCGGAGAACCTAACGGGTTACCGGGGCTCCGGCTAGACTTGCAGGAGTAGGACCGGGGTGGTTTTTAATCAGTAAGAGTATGACACTCCCTCCGGCCTCACCCAGGCGGGAGCAGACATTCGATGATTTTCCCCCCTTAAAAAATGTGTTTGAAATGTGTTTGAATTGTAGGTATATCATTTATTTTCTAATATGTTATTTCTTTTAAACAACAGTCGTCTTGACGGCTTTTAAGACAGATTTTGAGTAACTAAAGTTATTAATAACTCCTTCGTTGGTAAAGTACCTACTTAAGGGGGCAAGTCTACGTCTAGTTTCGACTGCACGGTTGGTGCGGTGGCTGGGCAATCGGCTGCCGTGCAACGTGTCGCGGGTTCGATTCCCGCACGGAACAACACTTTGTGTGATCCATAAATTGTTGTTTCGAGTCTGGGTGTCATTGTGTATGTGAACTTGTATGTTTGTAAACGCACCCACGACACAGGAGATAATCCTAATGTGGGGCAACGTTTTTTTTAAAAAAAAAAAAAGATTTTCTGATTCTCTCGCATTTGATTCTTGAGTCAGTTTAGGTTTAATTTTTTTGTTTTTTCGGAGTCAGTTTATGTTCAGTTCTATTATGTTGTTTCCTCCAACCCTTTGGGAAGTAGTCGCGGAGAACCTAACGGGTTACCAGAGCTCCGGCTCGAAGTGCAGGAGAAGGAACGGGGTGGTTTTTATTCAGTAAGACTCTGACACTCCCTCCCGCCTCATCCAGGCGGGAGCAGACATTCGATGATTTTCCCCCCCTTAAAAAATGTGTTGTAGGTATATCATTTATTTTCTAATATGTTATTTCTTTTTAAGCAACAGTCATCTTGCCGGCTTTTACGACAGATTTTGAGTAGGTACCTAAAATTAATAACTCCTTCGTTGGTCAAGTACCTACTTAGGGGGGCAAGTCTAGCAAAGATTTCCTGATCCTCTCGCATTTGATTCTTGAGTTTAGGTTTAATTTTTGTATGTCTTTTCGAAGTCAGTTTATGTTCAGTTCTTTTATGTTGTTTACTCCAACCCTTTTGAAGTAAAGGTCATGACTTTTATTAAACATCTTTCTATAATTCTTTCTATCTACATATTCGTTCGACGTGGAGGACTAAGAGCCTTTGTCCAGCAGTCGACGACTTCCGGCTATTTATGATGAAAACATCAGTCAAAGAATTCATGTTGTGATCTCAATATTACTTCGTCATTCTTTATGTGACTATGATCGTGCACTCGTCAATGTTGTCATAATATTATTATGGACTGTTATTTACAATTGCGTATTGTAATAATATCATCATCCCGACAATGTAGCTAACAGTGATCCATGTGAATGGATTCCGTTTCAAAGAAATACCTTCTGGTAGTCTGGTAGCTTCTTTTTGTTAAGAAAATATTATTGTTTGGTTCTACAGCTACATAAACATGATTAGTAACTAAGTAAGTCTATGTTTATGAGGTCTTAGTATTATGCTAAGATCAGTGCCTAAATATTTCGTATCTCTGCAATCGTAAGGCGACCAACTTTCTGAGAGTCCAATGCGGGACTTTTTGTAGATAAAGTTTAGTCGGTACACCTACAATTACATCGGATCGAAGTGCAGGAATAGGACGGGGTCGCTTTTAGTCAGTAAGAGTCTGACACTCCCTTCCGCCACACCCAAGCGGGAGAATGCATTTAATGATTTCCCCTCCCTTAAAAAAACACCTAGGTACAATTACATAAAAACATAAAACTTAGGTCCAAAAGTTATTTAACTATTAATAAAATCGTATTTATCTCTAGAGTGACACTTTTTAACAAGTTCAGGATTCTTATTGGGTAGGTATGTCATGAAAATCTTCCCAAATTCCCATATTAAATATAAGTACAAGCAGAGCACGTAGTATTTTCGATTTTTCTGATTCTTATTTATTCGCGCTGTTGTTAGTGCGCGTGTGTTGGTGTCGTATAGTATGAAATGAAAAAATGAAATGTGTATATGCGGGACTTGCGGGACGCATCTAACGTTTTACGGGACTATTTTATAAATGATTTCAAAGCGGGATTACATCTAGCATTACGGGACGGTTCCGCAGAAGACGGTTAGCCGCCTTATGCAATCGGAATATCATTCTCTTCCGCGTGATACAGCAAACGTTGTGTTTTGCTGCTTCATTTTGTAATGTTATTTGATTTTCTATAATAACTCTCCATGACACAGGATAATGTTAACAATCCTTTTTTATTTTACAGATTTTTTAAAGGAGAAATTAGAAGTATATTTAGCAGAACATATGCCGAAGGTGAGAGTCATAAGGCTGGAGAAGCGAAGTGGACTTATCACAGCTCGTTTAGCAGGAGCGAAGGTAGCCACGTCTGATGTACTGGTCTTCCTGGATTCCCACACCGAAGCCAATGTCAACTGGTTGCCGCCACTACTAGGTCTGTGTATGTATTAGTTTGCTGTTGTACATTTTGTATTATCGTCCAGGATGTTTACATGCATGCTACTGATCCAATAGCTTGAGAAGCGTTGTCTGATATGGCGTCGTAGAATGAGACTGGCATCTAGTCCCTTAAAAGAAAGTGTCTCCTGTCTGACTTATTGCTAATAGCGGTAAATCTGTGTTTAGTAAGCGTGAAACTTAAAAAAAAAATAGCCAGTATATTTGTTGAATTAAAACGGTAACTTGCGCAAATAACAGTTTGCGCTAACTTTTACGCAATGTTTGCGCAATATAAATTATTAAAAAAAAAGGTTAATATAAACATGTATGTAGTTGTCACAATAGACGTACTTTTAAATAAATAATAGATTTTGTATTGTCTAAAGAGTGTAGCCACACTAGCCATAGCACAAGGGCTCGCTGCCATCGCAGCGGTAAGTCCCCTCTTTGAGGAGTGGCTTGAGAGACGCTACGGCGTCCTCACCTACCGCCTGACGCAGGTCCTCACCGGACATGGCAGTTTCGGGAGGTACCTGTGTCTGATGGGGCGGGAGGAAACGCCCGGGTGTCATCACTGCGAGGACCGCCCTGAGGACACGGTGGAACACACGGTGGGAGAATGCCCTTCGTGGGCTGAGCACCGCCGTGTCCTCAGGGAAGTGATCGGCGATGGCGACCTCTCGCGTCCGGGCCTAGTGCAGGCCATGATGCGGAGCGAGGGGGATTGGGATGCCGTCTCCTCCTTTTGCGAAGCAGTCATGCTAGCTAAGGAGGAGGCGGGACGCGTGAGGCAGCGAAGCGCTGCCTCCTCGCAACCCAGCCATCGCGAAGGACACACCGGGCGTCGGGGATCGCGGGACGATCTCCGGCCACCGTAAGCGCGGGCCTGCGGACGGCGAGCATGGGTGGCTCCCCGTCCGACCAGAAACAGACCCGAGCGTACGGCGCGTCGCGTTCCGCGCGCGCCTCAAAGAGCCATCAGACCACCACAGATGGGGCCCAATAGGGCCGATGCCGATTCGGAGTCGCGGAGAACCTAACGGGTAACCGGGGCTCCGGCTCGACGTGCAGGAGAAGGAACGGGGTGGTTTTTAGTCAGTAAGAGTCTGACACTCCCTCCCGCCTCACCCAGGCGGGGGCAGTCATTCGATGATTTTCCCCCCTTAAAAAAAAAAAAAAAAA